CACACACACACACACACACACACACACACACACATCCCTGCATGGACACAAACACATAAAGTTCTTACCTTCCAACTCTTCTTTCTCATAGTGAATGTTGAGAATTGTACTGGTCCCACCCTGATCCACCACAGCTTCTTCATCTGCTCTCTGTTTAAACACAAGTTAAGTCAGGAGGCATGGAAGTACACACATTCATTCACATACCCAAGTATCATGTATATGCCAGACCTTTTGAGCTATCTGGAGGGAAAGAAGGGAAAAGCAATTATATACATGTAATTTTAAAATTTGAAGTTCATAACTTTGAGATGCAAACACAGAAGCCACTTTCTTTCTCATTTTATAAATGAGCAGTCTGAGATGTAGAGAATATTAAATTACCATAGAGAAAAGGCCAAAACTGAGCTCAGATCTTGTGACTGCAGAGCCCATCTTTTCCACCTCTTTACTCCACCTATACATTGTGATAATGGTTGGCATTTGACAAATGTTTTCTCACTTAATATAAACTGGTCTTCTTGATCTCTGTCCAGCATTGGAGTGTTTACTACATTGTCCTTGAAATTCTCCATCCTTCTCCTCTGATCAGTTCTCCTCTGTCTCTTTCTAAGCCTCACCTTTTTCTAAGTTTAATTCCCAAGGAAGAGCTCCTGACCCGTTGCCCACCCTTGGAGCTTACAAATTTCAACTGCAGCCCACAGCTACGTGGTTCAGTACTTGGTGAGCCACTGGGATCCAGCACCTCAAAATCCATGTGTCTAAAATCAAATCAACCTTCCAAAAATAGCTCTGAATCCTCATTTATTTATTCCTCTCCAAGGCACCATCATTTGTTAGTTCATATTTCAAATTTAAAATTTATTTAGGGCTGGGGAGATGACTCAGTAGAATAAGCGCTTCCCTGGCAAGTGCAAGGGTCTGAGTTCAATCCCTAGTTCTACCAAAAAATAAATAAATAATAAAACTTATTTATCTATCCATTCAATACATATTTAGTGCTTACCATATATTCCTGGGAAATTAATTCCCTTTTATTATGAAGTGTTCCTTTGCAACTTATTTCAAATTCATTTCTCTCTCCTCTCCCGCTTCACCTCACATTCTCTAGCCTTTTAAATTACACAGGCATGTTTTAAACACTGGATCCACTTTCTTCACTTCTAAACTAAGCTAGGTCTTGGCATTTATATCCCTCCCAGCATACTCAAGACTCTTTAGCAACAAAACATCTCTTTCTTTTCCCTGAAGGAAGGACTGGATCTGTCTTCCCCAACACTACTGAGTATCTCAGGACTCACCCTACATTTTTCACGTAGTGTATACTCAATAAATCTTTGTTAAAAGAACAAATATTGTCAGGCATGGTGACACATGCCTGTAATTTCAGCAACTGGAAGGCTAAGGAAGGAGTATCACCTGAAATTCAAGACCAACTTGGGGGGGTCTAAAAAATAGCTCAGGGGACTAAGCATCTGCTTAGGCAAGTGAAGGGACCAGGGCTAAATCCCCAGCACCACATGTCCCACCGGCCCTGCTCCTGAGAGCACTGAGCCAGCCACCGAGATCGGGCATGGTGGTGCACACCTGTAATCCCAGTGCTAGAGAGGCTAAAACAGGAGGATCACGAGTCTGAGCTATGTAGTGAAACCCTCAAATATATTAAAAAAAAAAGACCAGCTTGGGCTACACAGTGAGTTCAAGGCCAGCCTGAACTTCCAAGACCCTGTCTCAAAAAACAAAACAAAAACAATGAATATATTATCATCTACCTTATCAATATACTCACAAAACTCTTGGAAATACTATATTGTATGTATTATAAAATAATATTCAAATTTTTCTAATCTACTTTAACACTAGTGTCTTCCTCAGTACCATAGGTACTTTTAGCAACACACTTTTCCAGAATATATCAACTTCACTTCTAGCTAAGTTGCAAAGCTTCCTCAGTCTTCCCCCCACCAAGAAATTATTTTATTTCTTTTCCAAATAACTTTTTCAATAGAGTTTTCCTAAGTAGTTCAGGCTGGCCTTGAACTCAATATGTAATCCAGGCTGGCCTACAACTCACTGTGGTCTTCCTGCCTTTCTCTCCTGAGTGCTGGGATTACAGATGCATAATGCCAGGCCCTGAAGAATAAATTTTTAAGTAGAAAAAAATCCTTGGCTTTATTTTGGACTTGTTATTTGCTTACTAGCTTATCTGTAGATCATGAATTCCCTGACAGCAGGGACCACATATTTTTTTACCCTTATGTTCTCCGAGAGCCCAACACAGTAGCTCCAAGACCCAGGAGGTTGGGTACTGTGTCTTATGTTCACCACTATGTATTTGATACCCATTGCAAATACCCAGCACAAGTTAAGTATCTAGTAAATCTCAACAAATATTAGTTTTATGACTTCTCTGATATTTACATGTTTTCTCATAAAATGACCTATATGAATTGTTTTACCTATATAAATAATCATTCATGTTCGCTTCCCCATTGATTTTTTTTTCCCATTGATTTTTAATATCAGGACAGAGATCAATTAATTGGAATACTTGGAAGTGTCCACAGACAGCTGACACAGCATAGAACACAGTGGAAATCTGGAGGGAAGAAGGAAGAGATCATTGATTTCTTGATTCTAAGATCATAAAATCAAAATATAAAGAGCAAGGTTAATCACCTGAAAACTTCAGGCTGGAAAACTGACTTCTTGTTTGTGTTCTTAATTTAGATTGGTTAGCCACTGCCTAATTTCAGTAAATCACTGTTCGTCTATTTTGTCTCACCAAACAAACCAGGGCCACTGCCAGTAACCACTAGCCAGAGCATCTGAAAAGCCAAACTTGAGTGGGAATGTGTGGCTCCTTTTCAAATAAACCAAGTATGCAAAACATACAGATAGAAAATAATTATAAGACACTCAGGGATTTAATCAACTGACTAGATATTTGATTATGTTAAGCAATTATTGTTATTTTTAAAGATAATAACTTTCTGAAATGATAATATCATTTTTTAAAGAGTCTTAATCTTTAGTGATACACATTGAATGTTTTACTGATAAAGATTGGTATTTGTAGAATGGATGGGGAATGGATGAAATAAGATGGTGTATTCACTATTGAAGCCAAATCATGGTGATTCATTATGCAAATCTCTGTAATATATGCTTAAAATGTTCCATAAATTTCAAGTATATACAAAGTTGGTTTGAAAGCATTGAAAAATGAAAAGGAATATTGAGTCTCTTTGGTTTGTGTTTGCAGATTCCTCACCAGTTGGCTATTATTTCCTCTATTATTATTACTGTTTGTGGCAGAGAAGATTTCTCAATCTATGGCCATGGATTTCTAGAGTATCTATGAATGGGCTTCAGAAAAACTATGGTACTATAGGCTGGGGAGATAGTTCAGTGGTTTAAGCACCCTCCTGGTAAGTGCAAGGATCCAAGTTTGATTCCCAATACCATACGCTGTGCTGGCCCAGAACCAGGTATAGTGGCACACATCTGTAACCCCAATGCTGGAGAGGCTCAGACAGGAGGGTTATTATGAATCTGAGCTGCATAGTGAGACCCTGTATCAAATAAGTAAATAAATATTTTTTTAAAAAAAAATCTGTGGTACTACGTATGAATGTACAGGGGGTGGGGTTAGAAGGTCCATAACTTTTATAATAGTCTCTGAATGGCTTGTGAGTCAGGAAAGATTCGAATTATGAGAATCACATTATACAAGCTTAGGAGAAAAGGAAAAGGAAAGAGGGAAGAAAAGAATAAACTAGAGAAGTCCTATTTCTAAGCATCTTCTTTTCTGTACTTTCTCTTAGCTCACTAATAATAACCCCTTCCATAAACCTGAATTGAATTGCCTACCTCGAGGACTATATAAGATAAAAAGGACTAAGCAATTATTTGTGCATTAGAATTCTGAACTTGCAACACAAGTCTTGAGAGCAAGTCAAAACCAAAGCTTATAAAAGAGGGTAAATTATAAAAATTAGCATACAAGTTACTGCAATGAAGACTAAGAAAACAATACAAAGAATCAAACGGTTGTTAAATTTTTATTTTATTTTATTTTTTTATGCATTTAGTACAGGGTCTCACTACATAGACTGGACTCATGATCCACCTGTTTTCAGCCTCCCAAGTGCTGGGATTACAGGCATGCGCCACCACATCCGGTCTCAATCGCTGTCTCAGCACACTCCAGGGGCAGGGCCAGCACAGCTAAAGAGTTGGTTTTGAAAAATTAAATAACATTGGCAAACCCTTAGCCAACTCTAAGGGGTTATATGTTTACCAAAGCTGAATCAAGAAGATAGAAAGATTCTAAATAGCCCAATATCAGTCAATGAAATTGATGATGTAATTAAAAACTTACCAATAAAGAAGAGCACAAGTCTTGACATTCACTGTTGAATTCTACAAGAAATTTAGAGAAGATCTAATGCTACTACTTCTCAAACTCTTTAGTGAAGTTGAAATGGAAGCAATTCTCCTAAATTAATTCCAGGAAGTAAGCATTACTCTTGACATCAAAACCAGAGAAAAATTCAACCAAAAAAGACAGCAATAGACCAATCTCTCTAGTGAACATATATAAAAATCATCAATAAGATACTGGAAAACAGAGTGCAGAAAATCAAGAGGTTGATACATCATAATCCAACAGGATTTATCGTAAGGTTGCAGGGCTAGTTCAACACACATAAATCAATAAATGTATATGGCACTTTAACAGAGCCAAGGACAAAAACCACATGATCATCTCAATACATGCAGAAAATGCATTTGACAAAACCCAACACCAATTCATGATTTTTAAAAAACCTACCTCCCCCCAAAAAAACTACAGAAAATTAGACTAGATGATGCTTATTGCAATCTGATAAAAGCTTTCTAAGACCAACCAATAGCCAACATCATATTCAATGGTCAAAATTAAAGTGTTCACTCTAAAATCAGGAACAAGACAATGATTCCACTATCACCACTCTTATTCAATACCATTCTGAAGACTTTAGCCAGAGCAATTAGATAAGAGAAAGAGAAAAAAGAATGAAGATAGGAAAGAAAAAAATTATCATTATTCATGGATATGATACTCTACAGAGAAGACCCCAAAATCCACCAAATGACTTCTAGGT